CAAAGTCATAAGAAGCATGTTTAAAGTGATTCAACCACTCTACATAGCTTGTACCACATATTGAGATTTTGGTTTTCCACCTTGCTTCAAAAACAAGCAAAATACCATAATATGTGATCTTGGTAACCTGACCATCTCAACTCTCCAAACCATTTCCTATATGTCCAGAAACTTTTATGCAACTTAGGAAACGATTTTTCAAGCCTGAAAACTCCCTCAAACTCCCTAAAACACATAATCACCAAAAACACCTCAAAACTTGCCATTTCTGAGTTTTGAATCCAATCTCTCAATCCACTTGTGTGTTTCTTGGCCTTTTGCTGTCAAAAGCTTCTAAACATCATACACAAACAGTCCCAACACCTGCAACACAAGTGTAACACCTCCATCATCATCATCCATTTTCAAAAACAGAGTTTTGCACTTGGACTTGATTCAATCATCCTCAGTATAAACTAATCATTGCATTAGCTTCCTGGTGGTTCACTGAAGCTAACTCAATCATCACAACACCTTGGAAGTTCCTCTAACTCATTTCACGATTTCCAATTTTGAAGGTAATTTTCTGAACTTTCATCTCTTTATATAGGCATTTTTAGGCTTCCATTTTTTAAAAAAAAATGTAGACATCATTGCCCTGAAGCTAACCCTGTTCCTGGTTCTCATTTATATTGCTTAAGCTTAGAGAATTTTGAAATTGAAATTCCTGAAAAAAATTAGGTTTCAGATTAGGGCCAACAAAATTCTTGCTTATCCTTGATTTATAGTTTAAGTGATTTACATTCTAGAATCGTGAGAGAAAATGGAACAACTTTCATGTTTGCAATTTTAATTTTCATTGAGAAATGAGTAAGATACAAGTGGTCTGGCTGGGCGCAAGGTTGAAGACGAATTACAGGCCATGGACTTGTTTTATTTTAAGTTTAATAGTTGTTGTATTACTAACAGATGAAACAGGCCACATCAGTGGTACAAACAGCGCGCGCTAAAGCCTTGCCCTATAAGAGGTCTTGGGTTCGAGCCCCAGCGAGACCTTTTGTCTTTTTTTCATATTTTATCACTATTTTTTGTTTGCGGGAAGCGCGCCTGGACCTCCATTGGCTAAACTTTGGCATTTTTTGCTTCATTAACCCCCCTGTTTTACTCACACAGCCCCTGGCCCATTTTATTTTATTTATTTTTCTTATCTCATTTATTTATTTTCTTTTAATAAATTTTACTTAATACAAAAATCATAAAAAAATAGATTGAGGATTTTATTTAATTAAATTAATTTTTGACATAAAAATAAGTTTATTTTAATCACCTTTTCATTTTATCCTTATTAATTACTTTGTAAATTTATTATAAATTACGATTATTATTTTCATACATTAAAAATATTTTCTTTGACAAATCCAAATTCTTTTCTTAAAAAATAAATTAATACCAGACTTAGGTTTATCTTTAATTGAAATTAATTTAGAATTTAAGACTTTTATTTAATCAATTTTTATACTAGTTTAATTTAATTAAAACTCTTTTCACTAACAAAACCCTATAAAATTTGTTTTTCTTTAATAAATTAATTTCTTTTATTAACTTAATTTTAATTTTCTCATTCTTAGCTAATTATATTCTTTTAAGTTAATTAGGTCAAAAACCATTTTTCTTAAACAAAATCCATTTTCTTCTCCATTCATATCCTTGTATATTTATTCATTCTTGTATATTTAATTCTTGTAAATATTCAATATGGTTGTAATAAATAATTAGGATTTAATTGTTTGTAATCCCCATTTTTAAATATGTATACCTCATCCCCAAATGATGTAATAGCGTAGGATATTTACTTTTCGTAATTTATCGCTTTCATATAAATGCTAGTAATTAGGGTTTGTATAGGAAAAATAAAAAATCAATATTTAGAAAACCCTAATTCAAGATAAATCAAGCATGAAATACAAACACTTGCACACTTTGCACCTCTAGGGTTAATTCCACTTGTTGCCTTGAGAAAATAGTCATGATATGCATGTGAGACATCTTAGGAAAAACAAACAAAAATACAAGATCATAGTCCCTCGATGATGCTATGAATGTTTCCTTACAAATGATCTTAGTCCCTCAAGAGAAATGCTAAGATATCTCACAATATTGCTATTCACGACTATACAATGACCCACGCCCATCTCTTTACATCCAAAGATATGGTTACTTGCTAATCAATGGTGAGATAACAATATCAAAGAAAGGGAGAAATGAACAAAGACTTTTGAATAGGTAGAACGTTCTTAGTTGCTTGCTCACAATCCATCTTCAAAAACAAACATCTTTTCAAACACACTAAGCACTTTCAAAACATGAAATATTTTCAAAAGTTCAACACTTTGTATGCATTATTATAGAGACGGGAATCATTACAAAGTTTTCTTAAATAAAGACGCTTTTCAAAAATACTTTCAAAATCCACCACAAACACATTTCAAACAAAGCAATTTCAAAAGTGATCTAGCAAGCAACTAAGAGCCCATAGATAACTATGGATGAAAAGGATGCTAACACCTTCTCTTTTCATAACCTACCCCCGAACTCAAGAAAATATCTCAAAGGTATTTCCTGTTCTTTTCACCCTTTCCTTATTGAATAAAAGAAAAGTCGATGGCGACTCTTGCTATCCGCAACAATTGCGATAAAACACAAAACATCCATGTCAGTTCTCCCATCGTATCACAGAGTTGCTTGATGGAGACATTTATGTCGACCAACCTGAAGGTTTTATGGTTGCAGAAAGTCAAAATAAAGTTTATAAGCTTAACAAAGCCTTTTTTTACTTAAAACAAGCACAAGAGCATGCAGAATTGATGGCTATCTTCTACAAAGTGGTTTTAAATAAAGTGAAAATGAGGCTACTTTGTATGTGAAGAGGTCAAACAATAAAGTGTAACTAATACCGTCATTGTATGTTGATGATTTGTTGGTTATAGGGAATAAATTCAATTCTCTAAGTCAATTCAAGCAAGCTATAGAGAATTATATTGAGATGACAAATTTGGATGAAATAAAATATTTTCTTTAAATGGAGATCTTTCAGTCAAATGCTGGAATCTTCATTTCACAAAAGAAATATGCTTTAGAGGTGTTAATGAAGTTTCATATGGATAAATGCAAGCCTGTTTCCACACTTATGGTTGTGAATGAAAAGTTATAAAAGGATGATGGTGATAATAGTGCAGATACTTCTATTTATATAAGTATAATTTGAAGTTTGTTGTATCTTTCAGCGACTTAGGCCTGATATAATGTTTGCTGCTAGCTTACTTTCCAGGTTCATACATTCTCCAAGTGAAGTTCATTTTTGTGCAGCTAATAGAGTTTTGAGGTATATAAAAAGTACAACTGATTATGATTTGTGTTTCCTTAAAAATGAAAGTGGAGGCCTCCACGGGTATGTAGACAATTACTTGGCTTGATATGTAGATGATGCCAAAAGTACATCTCGTTATGCTTTCTCATTTGGCAGTGTTGTGTTCTCATGGAATTCAAAGAAAGAAGAAATTGTCGCCCAATCATCAGCTGAAACGGATTATATTTATGCTGCTGCAGCAGCAAATCTAACTATTTGACTAATGAAGATTTTAACAGACGTGGGACAATTTCAAAACAAATCTACTGTCATATGGGTGGATAACAAATTTGCTATAGTCATAGCTAAAATCCAGTCTAGCATGGAAGAACCAAACACATCAAGGTTAAATATCATGCTATTAGAGATGTGAAAAGTCAAAGGAAACTAGTTTGGAGCATTGCAATTTAAATTGCAGATATAATGACCAAAGCTCTTTCTAAGAGAAAGTTTGAAGAACTGAGATCAATACTTGAAATATTCAAGATAAATCTTAAGGAGGAGTGTTATAAATTGATATTTTTCTAACATATTATATTACTTGTTGTGTTACTTTACTTCTTGTTGTTACTATAATTATTAGATTCTTGTTTGTCAAGATAGTAAAAGTAGACAATAGCTGGCTACTATTTTGGATAGATTTGTTTTGAATTTTATTTCTACTCCAACAACCAAACTTATTGCTTGACTCTAGTATTTTGTAATATACTTTTTCAGCTTTATGCAATTCAACAACATAATCTTTTTTCTCATTTTTTATTATTATTTATTATTGTGTAGTTTCTATTCATCTTTTCTCCACCACTTTACCATAACTTCTATTTTTCTTACCGTTTTTTTACATTTGCAAGATACTAAAGATGTACCTAAGAAGAATCTCAACAAGAACCCCAGTTAGAGTCACATAACCCTAATAACTACTATGTTGAACTTGTTGGAAAATATAACCATTTGCATAGGTGAAGCTTTTAGTAGTGAGGAATTCCAAGTGAGGTGTTGTAGTGCAAATCACAAGGAACTGATAGAAATTGGCTTAGATCAGATTTCAATTTTGTACTATGATTCACATGAGGGGAGCATGGTTTGCCGGATAATAATCCTGCATTTAGAAGAAGATCATGAGCGTACTTTCTTGGATTCAAGGAGAAACAACTCTTTGATCTAGCCAGCTCAAATCCCATAGATTATTTTAGGGTACCTAGATCTTTGATGCTAAACTATTTATCCTAAAAGTAAAAGCTGAAAAGATTGATTTCATTTAAACTTGTATCTGCTAGTACTAAATCGTCTACATATGGCATTATGCAAGTGAAGCCAATGGAAGTAGTTTTGTAAAATTAAATAGTCAGTTTTAGATTGAGTGTTAATATAGACTTGGAAAACATGTAGTTAATTTTGTATTTCATTGCTTGCTTGCTTAATTTTATTTTGGTATAAATCACAATAATTTGGACTCTTATAACCCTCACATGACACCAATTCTAACACATAACCTCATTACCTCATCTTGAAAGTGCATGCACTTTCAATGCTTGTAAAGCAAGCTCAACTAATTTATTGAATTGCAATTTCATTATAAAAACATACACACAGATGTTATAAACTGCATGTCTCTTCATGTTTCAGCTTTCGTGGTTGATTGTAGTTGTATGACATCTTGAATAAGCAAAGAAATATTAAGATAAGAGGATCCACCTTTTTCAACAGCTCTCTTTGCCATCTCACCAAATTCACTAGCTCTTTCTCTTCTCTCTTTACTCTCTTGATCTCCCTCATCCATCACACTGCAGATTGCCTCCTTAATACATTCCTTCTTCACAACCACACCTAACTTTTCTTCTTCTCCCCACTTCAATGGAACCTCAACACCAAGACTCATTCCAATCCTCAAAACATGAGTCACCAGCTTCTCATTCAAAAATTGGTCAGCAAATAATGGCCAAGTTACCATTGGCACACCAACACTTATCCCTTCAAGTGTTGAATTCCAACCACAATGTGTTAAGAATCCACCAATTGAAGGATGAGATAATATCACCACTTGTGGAGCCCACCCTCTAATTATAAGTCCTCTCCCTTTATTTCTTTCCTCAAAATGTTCATCACTTATCCACTTTTCCAACTCTTGAGTTTTATTAATTCCATCCCTAAAAGCCCAAATAAATGGTATTTTTGTTTCTTCCAATCCCAAAGCCAATTCAATAAGCTGTGAAGAAACTAAGTTACATACGCTTCCAAGACAAACATAAACAACAGATTTTGGTTTATGCAAATCTAGAAACTTCAAACAAATTTGTTCACTTATTGAAGCTATGTTACCTCTTTCAGCCTTATCTAAACCATCTTTGTTGCAAAGTGAAACAGGACCAATACACCAAACCTTATCATTTCTCACTTTCTTGTAATCATTAACATATTCTTTCTCTAGTTCTTCAAAAGTGTTTATGATTTCACCATATGATTTCATTTCAGCTTCACGCAATTTCTCAACAAACTCCTTCGGTAGTTTCTCTACTATTCCTCCTGGCATTTGCCCTTTGGTGACATGAATTTGGTCAGGTATGCCTGGAATAGAGAAACACTCAGTTTCTGAATTGATGCTCTCAAGAATCTTTGAAGAACGCACCTTGAACGAACAATAGATACCGAAACAAGAAAACCCATGAAACGAAATCCTTGGAATTTGATATTTTTCAGCTATTTGAGAAGTCCAAGGAATGCAAAAGTCATTGATAATGCAACTTGGTCTCGGTGACAATTTGTCAAACAGTTCCTGTGCTGGTTTTTGGAGCAAGGAAACTGCATAGATAAAATTGTTCCACATGTCATTTGAAATGTCAACCATGTCGAAATTCTCACACCCGTCTGGTAATCCAGCTTGTTTTGATGGAAAATTGAGTGTTAGAAGATTGAGTTGAAGGCCAGAGGAAACAGCACGAGAAAGAACAGAAGAAAAACGTGACGCATTCTTTGGCGTAGTGAAAATGGTAACAATAACACCATGCTGTGCTAACAGTTTAGCTATGTCTATCATTGGAATAATGTGTCCTTGTGCTACGAATGGAAATAAAACAAAGTGTGGAACATTAACCATGGTTTAGAAAATGAATCAGTGGCGTATGTACTTTGAGTTTAAACTTGAATTAAAGTGAGTTTCAATTTTATAGGCATCACTTTCTTTTATAAATATGGCACTCCCTCCTCACAATTATTGACATGTTTGAAACAAGCAAAAAAAAATACTGGTTTCAATATTTTTTATAAAAGATAATTAAAAAATTAACAAAAGTTTATGTATTTAGTTTATATATTAAATCAAGTGGATGAATTATTGTAGGGGCAGTGAAAGTATATGATAGATTATTAAGTTTCTAGGTTGGGTGATGTAAGAGCATATGCAATAAACTTTGGATTATATGAGGAACAGTGCATAGATATCTAGAATCGAATCATTAGTGATATTCTGCTAGTAGAGAGCTAGATAAGACTTCAACAAGTATCTATATTATATATTTAAAAAAATTTAAAATATTTTTAATTAAAATTGTATTTATTTGACTTTTTAGTGATAATCAATTTAGGTAAATTGAACTCACTAGAGTGAATACTAGTCGCCAAGAAAATCACATATGTAAGTAAAGTGAACCGTATGCTTACCACTAAAGTGGTGTAATAAAGATCGGTGGATCTTGTACATACTATTTTATTATTTTAAAGGTTGTTTGACAATCATCATTTCACTTTATTGATTGATCTTTTCGGAGTAGTTTGAATATAGGTTTGTATGTAGCAGTTAAGTGTGATATGAATTTTGAGATGTAGTTCAATCGTCTAAAGAAATTTTAAATCTTTTTCTCTGTTTTTGGAGCTGACATTTCTTGTATGACCTACACCTTGCCGGGATCCACCTCAATACGTCGCTGACTTACAATAAAACCCAATAGTTTACCTGATCTGACGCCAAATATACATTTGTTCGGATTCAACCTCGGTCTGAATTTCCGTAGACGTTTGAATAATTTTTGCAAGTGAATGATGTGATCTTCCACGTATACCCCGACTTCTTTGTGGATCATGTCATAAAATAACATGACCATTGCTCGTTGATATGTCGTCCTTGCGTTCTTTAGACCGAAAGGCATTACTTTGTAACAGAAAGTTCCCCCAGGAGTCATGAAAGTAGTTTTTCCATATCCTCAGGTGCCATTTTGATCTGATTATATCCTGAGAAACCATCCATAAAAGAAAATACTGAAGCTTGAGTTGTATTGTCCATCAAAACATCTATGTGAGGTAACGGGAAATCGTCTTTGGGACTTGCTTTGTTTAGATCCCGGTAGTTTACACACATGCGTACTTTACCATCCTTCTTGGGCACTGGCACGATGTTAGCTATCCATGATAAATAATCTACCACGGCTAGGAAGCCTATATCAAATTGTTTGAGGACCTCTTCTCGAATTTTGTCAGACATGTTTGGAAGAGTTCTTCTCAGTTTCTGTCTGACTGGAGAACAACCTTCTTTCAGAGGTAGTTTGTGCACCACAATATATGTATCAAATCCCGACATATCTCTATAAGACCAGGAAAATATATCTACGTACTCATGCAAAAGTTTGATCAACCTTTATTTAACGCTTTCCTCCAAGATTGCCCCTAACTTGATCTCTTTTGGATCTTTTTCTGTGCCAAGGTTGATAATCTCAATAGATTCTTGGTACGATTATATTTTCTACTTTTTGCTCTAATACCCTCTCCAATTCTTCGGAGAGTTCAACATGTTCCTCATCTTCCTCTCCATCTTAGTTAATTGGTGCATCAAAATCATATCGGATAGCAGCAATATCATTATTGATGGGTTTAGATGTGGATATATATATTTTATCATATTTTTGTGCTTTTTAGAATGTAAATTGGAAAAATGTATATGAAGAAAAAATATTTCCATTTTAAAAAATTAAAAAATTAAAAAAATGCAGGAGAAAGACAGGGATCTTAATTGAATGCAAAACATAACTCTTATTAATTGAAAATACTATTTGAAAACAAATGGGGGCCCTTACAAGCTATCCATATGGCTCGGGCAGGATATAGGTTCTTTTTAAAAACTGAAAAATCACTTTGGAAAGAAAAAGATCTCTGGAATCTCCACAGTTGTCCAATTCTTGAGCACTTTGTCGGGAGCACATTCATGAATAAAGTTGGATGCCCCTTTGATGTTGCTATTGTTAGATATCATTACTACTTTTCCACCATGCTTTACTCCTTTGATGACGAAGGTTTCCTGGATGGGAGGAAATTGCCCCTTTCCTTTCAGAATAGCTTTTGACGGTTTGTAGCCCAAACTAAAACGATCTTTCTTCTTAGGTATCTCCACAAGTTTACCCTAACCTTTTGACATACGATCTTCCATGGCTGTTTGTAAATCTCTCCACGAAGTCATAGTAGTTCTCGGTTTCTTAATTTTCTCCACTGATAGGTGTTGTACCCCAAAATTTTCCCTCCTCTTTTTCACAAGAAATCATAGCTTCAGGCTTTTCCTGATTTTTCAGATTGGTTTAAGAATCGGTCAAACAGACTTTTCTCATCAGTCAGACAAAATTAGGGTTTCCATTGATTTTGAATCAGTTCAAGCAGATTGTTAGGGTTTGGTTGAGTTTAGCTCAGGGTTTGATCAGGCAGACATTTCTTTGACAATAAATCAAGAATTAGGGTTTGCACGCGCATTTTCAGAAGAATTTGAATCCACAGTGTCTTAATTGGCTGTTACACTGCTTTGACGCCTGCTCAAGATTTCAGTTTTGTTTCTCAAAAACCTGAACCTCTGGGTTAGAAGCTGAGGCTTCTGGATAAAAATTTGCAGTGTTTGGTTTAATCAGTAAAAGGAAAGGCACGTGGACGTTTGTTTGATTAACTGTGCAATGCTTATGGCTAATTGGAACGTCGAGTTTATTATTGGTTAATGCGAAGTTGCAAGACTACAGTGTTTATTAATTATTTATTTTATCTAAGTTAGAATAATTGGGATTTACTTCCAGTTATTTTAATTCAAGAAAACTTAAATAATTAAATAGACAGTGAAATAAAAGAGATATCTGACAAAAAGACTTTTATTTATTTTTAATTATTGGTACAAGTGTTATTTAAATACAAGTAATTTTTACAGTATTTATAATAATATTTATTACAAATGATTAAAATAAAATAAAACTGTATCCTAAGTGTCTTGAAATCTTCATCTTCTACTGCTGCTCCCCATTGCTCGACTGATGTTTACCTGCAAAAAGAGAAGAAAGAAGTCAACACAGATTAATTTAAAAAAGGTATTTTCTCAGACAGATAAATAAAGACTCATCATTAAAAGTGTTGGCCAGAATCAGTTTGTTCGCCCTCTCTGCAAATCGCAAGAAGACTCTTGGTTCACAAATAGGGAAAGAAAATATGTTTGCAAGCATATGAATATGTACAAGGCTGCATAATTCCAAAACAAGCTGCACAGTTCAAAATGCCAAACCAAATGCACAAAGTGACAAACTAAACTGAACTACACTATCAAACTAGGCAAACCAATTTGTCAAAAGTGCAAAGCTGTCAAACTGTCAAAAGGTTGTTAACAAGATATCAAAGCAATGCAGAAAATCTGGGATAAGTACAAGATTCAGAGGAAAGACAAAAGGCAAGTAATATTGCAAAGTATCATCATTTTCCAGGCCAAGCACTTTTTTCAGAAAAAAAGTACAGTGTAAGCAATAAAAAATGCTTTTCTGTGGAGAGAGAAAAGAGAGAGAAGTAGAGGCTTACAGGCAGGCTTAGATATAAAGAGAACAAATCAGAACACTGTAAAAAGGGGGTAGAACCACATAGAAACAGAGATATCACAAAAACTGTGAAAAAACTCACAAACGGTATCAACACAAGCCTCGAAGCAATGTCTGCCTGTTACATAACACAAACCAAACTTTGCCTCAAGCCAAGCAAACAAACATCCTGCCTAAAACCCATAACATAAACAACAAGCTTGCAATCTCAAGCCTGCTTCAGACTCACAAACCTGCTAAGCCTCAAATCTGTTACAGCATGGAAGCCTGCCTTTAAACCACAAGCCTCAAACCTGTTACAGGATGGAAGCCTGCCTTTAAACCACAAGCCTCAAACTTCAAGCCGGTAACTAAAAAAACAAGCTATCAAACCACCAAGCTTACAAACTGCCTTCAAACAAAACTCAGTATCAAAACTTGTGTTCAAACCTCAAAACCTGTTACACAAGCCCTTCAAGCCTGTATCCAACAAGCCTGTCAAAACATCACTAACCCTAACCTTTGTTCAAAAATCCAAATACCCAAATATCCAAACAACAAATTTAGGAGCCTCAGAACTAGGTTCATCATAGGCAAAGCCAGCCCAGTCCAAAAGAGAAAAAGAGAATTAGAAGTGAAACAACAAACATTCTCAGAACTGATTCATCATTGAAAACCATCAAAGAAAACCAAAAAGAGAGGAAGAAAGTCAATAGCCAACAATGCCTCAGAACCAAGGTTCATCATAGGCTAAACAGAAGCACAACAATTGGCAACTCAGAACCAACATATCAATACCAACAAGCCTAATAAGCATCTCAGAATCCAAGCATACAAATATTCAGAGGCAAGCATTCAGGCAAGCAAGCATCTTCATCAGAAAAATAAGCAAGATACAAAATACCAGGGAGGCCAGCAAGCTCAGCATCACGTACTCCCTCGCCCGGCCGCCTAAGACGCCTCCTGCCCACCTCGCTTCCTCTCAGAAACAAGAATAAAGGTATTGTCCTCTTCCCTTTTTCTAACACCACACAAACATCAAATAACATAAAGATCAGAATTTGCCCAAAAATCAATAACATGCATGAACTGAAACCCTAAAACATGAAAGAACAGAAATCATTACCCTTCTTTTGTCACCGTTTGAGCAAACGCGGAGAGGGGAGATGGATGGTGGCGTCTGGCAGCTGAGGCGAAGAGGAGCATCAATGGCTCTTGTTTGAGAACGAGAACGATAAAGACGAAGAAGACGATGGAGAAGCGGCGCCGTTTATCAAAGCTCTGTAACCCTAAATCT